GTTGTTTTTGGTTTACTTAACAATCAGTTAGGATTGTCTGAGTCTGAGGAAGGAGAGAATGCTGGCATGCTATTCTGCTTTCTCTATGACTGTCGGAGCAGGCAGAACCCCTCAACGTTCTTGACTCCAAATGGATATTCCAGACGGGTATACAAAGGTCTGGAGAGGGCAGCGCTTGCCCATGATCAAAGGGTAAAACTGAATGGGGAGATCTAGGCTCCCAGCACCAGCCTTGTCCTAGCCCGACCTCTGCCTTCCTTCCCCATCCCCTAGAATCAGCTCTGGAGTCACTTACTGAAATTGGCCACTGTAGGATGCACCTCCTCGGAAGTGGGTCGTGTGGTCTCATGGATGGGGTTCTCTGATGTTCTCTTTGAGGGCCTGAAATCCCAAAGTCCTCATTCCTCCGTGTCCCTAGTCCTCACCCATCTCCACAGGTTCCACCCATATCCCACGTGCATCCCTGGACAACACCCTCAAGCCCTCTGAATTCCCCATGTGCGGCGGACATGGCTCAGCACCATGGTTGACAACCCCCCCTCTCCCCAGCGCACATACAGGAGGGCCCTCTGCTGGTCACATCCCTACCCCACTCCAGGATTACCCTCTGGCACTTCTGACGTAGAGGAAATAGCCCAGTCCTGAGACCAGGGCGATGACAGCCAGGATCCCGATGACAATACCAGCAATGGCCCCTGCAGACAGGGAGGAGGACTGGGGGCCTGAGAGACCTGGGCAAGGAGAGAGAATCAAGACCTAGGCCTGACGAAACTTTGTCTCTGCGCCCAGTCTCCTTCTTGTAACTCTACTTCCACTGACATTTTACTTTTTTTTTTGGGGGGGGGGAGGTTTTCGCTATAGGGTGCGTGCTCTCGCCAGACAGAGAGAGACAGAGAGACAGAAAACGAGAAATCACACCCCAGGGGGAATGGTCACTCCGCAGTCCCTTCTCCTCCATTCTCCTCTCGGGATCTTGGGCACACACGCACACATGCCCGGTGTGAGTTCTAAGCCACCGGGTCCAGGACACGAACTGCGGTCAACTACATGGGAGTCCAGCGACATAGCCATTACGCTAACTGCTGGCTCCCCTTCCACTGACATTTTAGAAGCACTTGTTTTCCAGACAATGGGAGACAACAGTTTACGGTATTAATAGCAGCATTTCTGGAGTCAAATGGCTTGGGTTCAAATCTTAGCTGCGTGATCTTGGGCATGCTACTTAATCTCTCTGCATGTCATTGTCTCTCCTGTAAAATGGGAATGATATTGCCCCGTCTGTAGAATTCCTGGAAAAATTCAATATACATATATTCATAGTCCATATGTATAATACTCCATAGGATATGCATGAAGTATTTGGACTCATTGAAAGTAATCGGTAAAAGTTAGCTGTGATGACAATGTTGATCAGGATGATGAATCAAACATGGCTTCCCCTTGTACCCCGGGGAGGAGTCACGGACCAGACAAAAGGACTTTAACAGCCCAAACCTGGCTTTGCCTTGATGCTCCTTGAGTGTTTGGGTTCATGTAACCCTGAATAAAGAATCCATTGTGGGGACCAGCAGTTAGCATAATGGCTATGTCACTGGACTCCCATGTAATCGACCGCAGTTCAAGTCCTGAACCCAGCGGCTTAAACCCATGCCGGGCGCGTGTGTGTGCATGCCCAAGATCCCGAGAAGAGAATGGAGGAGAAGGAATTGCGGCGTGGCCATCCCCCCTAGGGGGTGATTTCTCGCTTTCTGTCTCTCTGTCTCTCTCTGTCTTTCTGGTGAGCGAAAACCTCTCAAAAAAAAAAAAAAAGAAAGAAAGAAAGAAAGAAAGAAAAGAATCCATTGAGGAGTCTCACTTTCTTTCTTTTAATAATTAAAAAAAAAGAAGATGATGATAGAAGCTGCTATCTCACAAGCTCTGAGCACCAAGAAAATTCTTCATACAGATTTTTTAAAAAGAATTATTTATTTAATTTTATTTGGTATTAGTAGTTTTTAATTTGAACAGAGAGAGACAAAGAGAGAAAGAAAGGGAAAGTGAGAAAGTAAGCCACCAGGTTCAGGACTTGAACTGTGGTAGGCCATGTGGGAGTCCAGTGCCTTAACCACCATGTCACCTGCTGGCCCCTTCATATGCAATTTTATTCAAGTCTACAACATCCCATGAGCATCAGCTGAACTCACTGCTTCCTCCTCTGGGTCTCCATTTCTCCAGCCATCAAATGGTCAGAGCAAGACCAGAGGTTTGTTCTGAAGATTTGACAAGGCACCTTGGGAAGCTACATGGGGTTCTCAGTCTAGTAGACAACTAAGAACATTGCTGTGAGGCGGCCAGTCTGGGTTAAAACCACAACTACAGGGTTAGGTCTTTAGGTCTCAGTCTCTCCCTCTGTACAATGGAGATGCCAATAGGCTTGCCTAATAAGGGCTGATGGAAAGTACCCAAGGAATGCTGATTGACCTTATATATGGGAAGGCTTGGTTCAGACATGTGGCACCGGCTGTATACAGAATAATTTTACATGTCTCAGCCACCACACCACAGGCAGTAGCTTCTAAATTCTGGGAGCTATGTAGTCAACCTGGATTTGAATCCCAGCCCAGACTGAAATATGCTGGCTCATGTGCATGTGCCCAAGATCCCGACTAGCTCCAGGGCTGAGGAAGGGGACTGCAGAATGATGAGACCTGGCAGAGGTGCCCATCTTTCTCTCTCTTTGTCTCTCTTCCTCTCTCTGTGTCTTTCAAGATCTTGAAAGAAAAAGGGGCCGGAGGTGGCATGGTGGTTAAGGGCACTGGGCACCCACCTAGTCAACCGCGGTTCAAGTCCTGGACCTGGTGGCTTGCTTTCTCACTTTCCTTCTCTCTCATTCTCTCTCTCTCTGTCCCTCTCTGGTCAAATTGAAAAAAAAAAAAGTAAGTAAGTAAATAAAATAAAATAATTCTTGAGTAAATAAACAAGCACTTTTTTTTTTTTTTTTGGAGAGGTTTTTCGCTATAGGGCACGTGCGCTCGCCAGACAGACAGAGAGAGACAGAGAGACAGAAAGCAAGAAATCACCTCCCAGGGGAGATGGTCACGCCACAATCCTTTCTCCTCCATTCACCTCTCAGGATCTTGGGCATGCACGCACACGTGCCCGGCATGAGTTTAAGCCACCGGGTCCAGGACACGAACCGTGGTCAACTACATGAGAGTCCAGCAACATAGCCATTACGCTAACTGCTGGTTCCCAACAAGCACATTTTTTTAAAAAGAGAATAATTTTGGTTTTGTTTTTAATAAATACAGTATGCCAAGCTGGACTCCTAAATGACAAACCGTGGTTTAAGTTCTGGACCCAGTGGCCTGAAAATCACGCTGGTCACATGTGTGTGCATGCCCCAAATCCCAGGAGAATGGAGAAGAAAGGATTGTGACGTGGCCATTCCTCCTGGGGGGTGATTTTTCACTTTCCCTCTCACTATCTTTCTCCTCTCTCCTGAGAGTGCATGTACCCTATAGCAAAAACCTTACCCCTCCCCCCAAAAATGCTTTACAAATATGAATTATCTTCAAAAGCTCTAATAAATAGGCACAATCATTAACATTTGTTTTAGAGATAATACATATGAGGCCTAGAGAGGTTAAGTAACTCACCCCAGGCCACACAGCTAATAAGCCCTGGAGTCGGGATCTGAACCTTAGTGAGCAGTAACACTATGTTGCCCTCTCACGAGGGACTCCACACCAATTATGCCCGCTTGCTATTGATATGATTCCCGACTCCCCTTCCCAGAGCATTCCTCTCACTGATGGAGTCCTTCTCATTGTCCTAAACAACTCTGAAAAGCGAGCATCACAAACCCCATTTACAGGCTAGAAAATGGGGGACCAGCAATTAGCATAATGTCACTGGACTCCCATGTAGCTGATCGTGGTTTGAGTCCTGGACCCGGTGACTTAAACTCACGCTGGGCGCATGTGCGTGCGTGCCCAAGATCACAAGAGGAGAATGGAGGAAAAGGGATTGCGGCGTGACCATCCACCCTGGGGGGTGATTTCTTTCTTTCTGTCTCTCTGTCTCTCTCTGTCTTCCTGGCGTGCGCACGAGTCCTATAGCAAAAAACCTCTCCAAAAAAAAAAAAGAAAGAAAGAAAGAAAAGAAAAGAAAGAAAGAAAGAAAGAAAGAAAGAAAGAAAGAAAGAAAGAAAGAAAGGAAGGAAGGAAGGAAGAAAGAAAATGGAACAGCCTGGTGAGCCTTTCAGGGCACACAGCAGGAAGCAGAGAGAACCTGTACAGTAGGGGTTGGGATTCAATAGCGCTGGATTGAGAATCAGTCCTTTAGATGCCATGCTCCAGCCCATGTGGCCAGGGCCAGCGTGAGAAAAGACCATCTAGGGGCCAGTCCCAGGGCCTACTGGCTAAGTGAGCTGATTCTCACATGGCCAACCATGGTTTGAATCCAGGTCTTAATACCTTGAAAAACACACCGGGCCTGTGTATTTGGGTCCCAAATCCCAACGGGATGGAGAAACAGAGAAGCAGGGATTGCAGCATGACCATGGGGGATGCTTTCTCCCTCTCCCTCTGGTGAGTGCACATACCCTCTGACAATTAAAAAAACTAAAAGGCCAGTTGGATCCCAGGAGAAAGTACACCTGAGAGACTCACCTACCACCTTGACCAGGACAGAGGCGGAACGGACCTGGCCAGTCAGAGGGTTGGAGGCTGTGCAGTGGTAGGTCCCCTGGAGTTCCCAGGTCAGAGCCTGGATGATCAGTTGTTCTCCCACATACACCTCAGTGAGGTGTCCAAAGTCCCAGCGATAGTTAGGGCCTGGCTGGGATTCAGCCCTACACCGCAGGGTCAGGGTGGAGTTGAGCTCTGCTTCAACCGTGCTGACCACTCCAGATGCCGGCTCCCTGGTGATGTCCACTCGGTCAGGGCCATCTATGGGCAAAGCCAAGTGTTACACACCCGCCCCATTGGTGAGCTTTCCCTTTCCATGCCTTTCACCCCCACATGGTAAGTTTTGCCTCCCCCCCCCTCCTTAGTTTTAAGCGAAGCCATTCCAGAATGCAGTTTGGAAAACCCCTATTGAAAGGACTCTCAGTCCAGTAGGTAATGCAGTGGTTACATGGTTAACTGTGGTTCAAGACCCAGACCTGGCAGCTTGAAAATCATGCCAGGCACATGTGTGTGCATGCTCAAGGTCCCTGGAGAATAGAGGAGAAGGGATTGTGGTGTGGCCATCCCTCCCAGGGAGTGATTTCTCACTTTGCCTCTTTCTGTCTCTCTGTGTCTCTCCTCTTGGGTGAATGTACATTCCCTATGTCAAAAACCTTTTTAAAAAACAAAAAACAAAAACAAAAACAAACAAACAAACAAAACAAAAGGACTCTTAGCAAGATAAGGAGAAAATGCTCCCTTTTTCTTGCTTGACAAGCAGATTCTGGTCCACCATGTGGGGCTTGGGGAGATCCAAACACAAGAGTTAATATCTGCCTGGGCCCAGTAGACGGCATAACGGTTACGTTGCTGGACTCCCACGTCGTCAACCATGGTTCGAGTCCCAGACCCAGCAGCTTGAAACTCACGCTGGGCACATGTGTGCCTGTGCCCAAAATCCTGAGAGGAGAATGGAGGAGAAGGATTGCAGCACGGCCATCCCCCCTGGGTGAGTTCTCACTTTCTATCTCTCTGTCTCTCCTACGCAAGCACCCTGTAGCAAAAATCTCTCTCTAAAGAAAAAGAAAAAGGAAAAAAAAAAAAAGTCTGCCTTTGCAAAAGGCATTTTGTAAGATATCCAGGCTTTAGGACTGTGATGGCTAAGGTGCTGGACTCCCACATGGCTGACCACGGTTCAAGTCCTAGTCCTGGTGGCTTGAAAAGCATGCTGATTGCATGTGCATGTGTGCTCCAAATCCTAAGAGAATGGGAAGGAATTGCATCGTGGGCATCCCTCCAGGGGGTGATTTCTTACTTTCCCTCTCTGTCTCACTCTGGCACATGCATGCACCCTATGGCAAAACAAACAAACAAACAAACAACAACAACAAAATACCCAGGCTTCTGAAATTAGTGCTGTGCTCCATGTGTGGGCTCTTAACCTCTAATACTGTGTATGCTCAATAATACAAACACTTCCAAAATCGTTTTGTAGCATCAGAAAGAGATCATTGGTACTTTGCCCTCCTCCCATGAAGGGATCAAATGAAAGTAGCTGTTGGCGACTAGTCCTATAGCTTGGTGGTTATAGGAGGTGGATCCCAAATGGCTCATCATAATTTGAATCCTGGCCCCGGCAGCTTGAAAAATGCGCCAGGAGCGTGTACATGCATGCACCAAATCCCAAAAGGACAGGAATGGAGGAGAAGGAATCGTATCATGTCCCACTGGGGGCCACTTTTTCTCTCTGTCTTTGGTGAGCCCATGGAGCCACTGGCAGTTTAAAAAAAGTACCTATTGGATTTCTCATTCAAGCTAAAGGAGTTTGAGAGTCATGTCTTATTTAAAATAATGTGGGCCCAGCAGGTGGTGCAGTGGTTAAATTGCTGGACTCCCACGTGGCCGACCATGGTTCAGGTCCCAGACCCTGCAATTGGAAACTCATGCCGGGCATATGTGCATGCATACCCCCAAATCCCAGGAGGAGAATGGAGGAGAAGGGATTACAGCATGGCCATCTATCCCCCCAGGGAATGATTTCTTGCTTTCTCTCTTTCTGTCTCTCTGGCGAGCACACACATCTAATAGCAAAAATCTCTTTTTTAAAAAAAATATGTGAACTACTGGAAAGAAGTAGGCTGAGTTTCTTGTTGGGACATTGTAGGAGAGGAGGAAATCCTGTCCATTCCCCCTCCTAAACATCCTTTGAATCCGTTACTTTTCCCCCATCCTAACCCCATGGCCTTTGGGACCCTTCACTTTCACCTCAGGCCCCTCCTGATCTCCCCGTCCCAGTTTCATTCTCCAAACAGCAGCCAGAGGGTTTTCCTAAGTACAACCCTGATGCACTCTGCCTTCTGCTCAGAACCTTCTTTGGCTCACCAGTGTCCCGGGGCCAAAACCGGTGGTCGATGAGTTCATTCACACTGTGACTCTCACAGACCTTTCTGGCCCCACCACCCACCTTCCGCATCTCCCACTCTCATTCAGGAATAAGATCTTTCTTGGATATTCCATCTCCATGTTCGCTTTTGCTGTGAAGCCATCACACATGCTCCCTCTCCCTTCCTGCTGCCTGGGGTGCTGTCCCCTGAGTCAGCTCTCTCTCACCTGCTCCTACCTGTCCTTCAGATCTCATGGTAACATCACCTGTCACGATGAGCTGTCTCACACCCTCCACACTGGCTCCCTCGAGGCCCCCCAGATGCTCTCTTCATGCGCCATGACAGCATTTAATATCTCGTATTTTATTTGCCTGGTTATTGGTGTCCCCTGTCCCCCGTAGGCTATGGGCACTGACAGACATGGCCATTATCAAGTGCCCACCATGCTGCTCAGCACAGAGAGAGCGCAAAATAACACTTGGGGTTTAATGACTAAAGTGGGAAGGAAAGACGAGAGGGAGACCGAGGAGGGTACAAAGCACAGGAAAGAACTTCCGCCCATCTCTGTCTCCCTGTTACTTCATAGACGTGAAAGTGGACCGGGACTTTGTATCCTTTCCCAGTCTTCCACCTCTGATTGTGATTCCTACATCCTTCTCTCTCTCTCTCTCTCTCTCTCTCTCTCTCTCTGTGTGTGTGTGTATGTGTGTGTGTGTGTGTGTGTTTTGGAAAGGTTTTTGCTGTAGGGCACACACACTCACTGAAAGACAGAGAGACAGAGAGACAGAAAACAAGAAATCACCCCCCAGGGAGATGGCCACACTGCAATCCCTTCTCCTTCATTCTCCTCTCGGGATCTTGGGCATGCACGCACGCACGCTCGGCGTGAGTTTAAGCCACCGGGTCCAAGAATCGAACTGTGGTTGACTACATGGACATCCAGCGACATAGCCATTACGCCAACTGCTGGTGCCTTTTGGTGTGTTTGTTTATTTCTTGAGAGAGAGGGAGAGATGGAGAGAGAGACAGCATCCTCAGCTGGTCTTCATGCAGCCATGCATCCCAGCCTTGGCCAGCCCAGATCATGTGCCCAGCATACTCAGAGAGGTCTCTGGACATGAACCTGGAGCCTTCTAGGTTCCAAGAGGGAGGGAGGAGAAGACTAGACTACGGGCAACTCACAGTTGATGGTCAGCCAGAGGGGGTCGCTCCGGGCTTGGCTGTCCCTGTTCCAGATCTGACACTCGTAGGGCCCCGTGTCATTCCGCTGGAGGCCATGGATGCCCAGGGTCTTATTGTTGGCCAACAGCTCAAGGTGCCCACTGGGCATGATGAACTGGCCACTCTGGAACCACTGAACCGAAACCCTTTCATGGGTGGTGTTGCAGGTAAGGTTCACGGAACTGACATTCTCCACGAGGTCCATACTGGAGGGCACCACCTGAGGCTTGGTCAGTGTTTCTGGAAACACATGGAGACCCAAGGTCAGGTTCAGAGACCCTTTCTGAGCCCCACACCCATGAGGGGCTCACAGGGGTTTCCTAGGGATGTGGGTCGGTGTTTTGAGGACAGGGAGGGGATGTATGATAAGTGCTCTGTGTACAAGCATGTCTTTTGTGGATGAGTGTGTATTGTATGATTGTGTGAATATGTTATGGGTTTTGTGTGGAGAGTGTGTGGTATGTTCGTGTTTGGCGTGTGAGTGTGCATTTTGTGTCTATGGTATGTGTTGTGTGTATATGTCTTGCAAGCGAGAGTGTGTGGGTGGTATACATATATGCTTTATGTGTGTTATATGTGTATATGTGTTCTGTATATGAGTGTGTGTTCCTTTCTTTTTTTAAGTTTGCTATAGGGTGCATGCACTCACTAGAGGAGGGGAAGAGAGAGAGAAAGGGAAGGTGAGAAATCAGCCTTCTGGGGGGTGGCCATGCTGCAATCCCTTATCCTCCATTCTCCTCTCAGGGTTTTGGCATGCACACACACAAGCCCAGAGTGTTTTTTAAGTCGCCAAGTCCAGGACTCAAACTGCGCAGTCAGCCATGTGGGATCTAGCTGCCTTAACCTCCATGCCACCTGGTTACCCTGAGCATGTGTTCTATGTCTGTGGCAGTGTGTGTGTTACGTAAATATGTTGGATAGTGTGTGTATGCGCTTTGTGTACATGCCTTTCTGCATGTGAGTTAGGTGACAGTTGTCTGTGTTGTATGTCTTGAGTGGTCGTGATGTCGAGTGGGTGTTGAGTGTCTGATGTGTGTATGTCTTCTATGTGCACGTTATATGTACATACATTTTATGTGAGGGCATTTCACTTATCTGTGGTATTGTTCAGTACACATTGTGTGTGAGATATGCACATTTGTGTTTTGTGTATGTCACACATGTTTTTCCTTTCTTTTTTTGGAGAAGTTTTTGCTATAGGGCACATGCACTCACCAAAAAGACAGAGACGGAGAGACAGAAAGCAAGAAATCACCCCCTAGGGGGTCATGCCCATGCTGCAATCCCTTCTCTTCCATTCTCCTTTCAGGATCTTGGGCACACACGCACACATGCCCGGTGTGAGTTTAAGCCAGGTCTGGGACTCCAACCACTGTCAACTACACAGGAGTTCAGCGACATAGCCATTATGCCATCTGCTAGTCCCCACACATGTTGTGTATATGTTTTGAATGTGTGTGAATGTATTGTGTGTGAGTTGTGGATTTGTGTATATGCTGTGAATGAGTATGTGTTGTGTCTTTGATGTAGTATGTACTATGTTGTTGGATGTGTTGACTATGTAATATGCATATCATGTGTGTATGTGTTTTGTATGAGTCTGTGTTGTATGCCTGCGGTATTGTGTATGTTTTCTACATGAATTACTTGCGTCTGTTGTGCTCGTGCACATATGTGTATGCTGTGCTTGTATGGTTATGGGGTGTGTGTGTGTGTACGGAATATGTAAGTGTCGTGTTAGTGTCTGTACATAGAAACAATCGACCTCCCTACTTCTAGAGAATTCGGTCACAGACACCTCCCAGAGAGGCAGCAGGGCCTCGTGGAAGGTGTGGCCAGCCTCCTCTGTGGTCAGAGCCCTGACCAGCACCAGTCACACAGGAAATTCCCAGTCCTCCAGGTCCTCCTCAACTCGGGGGTACTGGTATAGCTGAGTGACTCAAACTGTTCAAGTTCCAGTCCCCTCTAAGACTCTGATGACAACCGTTGACTATTTCCCTGGAACACGACACAAACATTTTGGGTATAAGTTGATACCTACTGGGAATCACCCCCTCAAACAGAAAGTCCAAAGACCCAGATTAGGAACCTGTTCCTTCTGACACTGATGGCTGCTGATGCTCAGAACAAAGGGGAAGAACCAGGAAAGGAGACTTACCAAGGACTTGGACTTCAAGAACTCCGACGCGGGACAGGTGGGTGTCACTGTTGGACACCAAGCACCTGTACACACCTTCATGTTGCTTAGATATGTCATGGATGGTGAGTGTTCTTCCAGTGTAAGATGGGATGGAGTCATCCGGGAGAAGCCAGGCATAGGAAGGAGTTGGATGAGACAGTGTTTTCGCCATGAGGTTCACAGTGGAGCCCTCTGTCACCTCGACCACCTTCCCATTGGGTACAACAGGGTCCGACGTGATTTCCACAGGGTCAGGACCATCTGGGAGATTGGGGACAATCAGAGCAGTAACAGTGGATCAGCAACAGCTTTCTCACAGGGCTCTGAGGGGTTAATAAGTGATGTTTCCCTCCTCCCCACTCGAGCTGGAGCTCGGATCAACTGCAAAAGAGGTGCAAGACTCCGAGGCAGATCAACTGTCAGCCTTCTCCCTGGGTAAAGCAACATTGGAAGACATGTCTAAAATATGAGGGGACTTGGGGGACCAGCAGTTTCAGCGACACTGGACTCCCATGTAGTCAACCACGGTTCGAGTCCTGGACCCAGTGGCTTAAACTCACACCGGGCATGTGTGCGTGCATGCCCAAGATCCCAAGAGGAGAATGGAGGAGAAGGGACTGTGGCGTGGCCATCCCCCCTGGGGGGTGATTTCTCACTTTCTGTCTCTCTGTCTCTCTCTGTCTGGCAAGCGCACATGCCCTATAGCAAAAACCTCTTCAAAAAAAAAATATATGAGGGGACTTCTAAAAGTTTATGGGCATGGGTTTAAAGTTGATTTTGATGCAAGCCTTTTGAAGTCTATACATGATTTAATTTAAAATACACATTTCCTATGAATTTTTCAAAGACCCCACATAGGCCAGCTCATGTTCTTCGCTCACTCCTCCCTACGCAAGATTTTGGATCAAACATCTGAGGTTTGGGAGCTCAATTTTAGATACATTTGGGTGGTCTTTTAAGCTGTGAGACTGAAGGAAGCGCCGAGGAAGTAGATTGTCAGTGAGGAGCCTGGTGGAATGGAAAGGGACTCACACCACACAATCAGGGAAGTGGGATCACTGCTCTGGATTCCATGGGCATTCCAGACTTCGCACTGGTAATCCCCAGAGTCCTCTCGCTGGACAGTAAGGATAGTGAGGGTCTTGCCATCCACAGATAGCTGCATGCGCTCCTGGAACACCAGGTCCTGGTTTTGAAAGACCCAGTGGATGGTGATGTCAACGTCGTTGGTGCCACAGTAGAAGGTTATGCGGTCCCTCTGCTCGACGGCAGTGGTAGAGCTGACCGTAATGGTAGGCTTGGACGGCGGTTCTGCAGAGAGAGAACACAGGAGAGGGAGACAGAGATGGAGACTCAGACAGAGGCAAAACAGAGAAGACGCAGTCACAGAAGGGCCCAGAGGGGCGGGAGTAGATCAGAATTTCTGGCAGGCACAGGAGAGTCTGGACCTAGATGCTGGATCTGCTGCTCATTCTAAGTGTGGTCTTGGACAACTTATTTCCCCTCTTCAGGCCCATTGAATGAGATTGTGCAAGTAGAGCAGAGGGTCCAGGACACTATCAGCTACAAAAGGGCCAGTGGGTGATGTGGTGGTTAAGGCACTGCATTCCCACGTGGCTGACCATGGTTCGAGTCCTGGACCTGGCAGTTTGCTTTCTCACTTTCTCTTTCTCTCTCCAGTCAAATTTTGAAAAAGAATGACAACAAATGAAATTAATGAAGTAAAACATTCTTTAAAAACAAAATCAGCTGCAACAGAATCAAGATCACAGTGGGGATGCCAGTAGGGCCCCTACCCACTTATCAGTCTTCCACACCCATGATCCATGCATGACACCCATGCTCCACCTACAACATGAGTGTCTGGACTGGTTAGTGCCAGAGCCTCGGCTGAGCCAATCAGATTCATCCTCTTGGGACTTGGGCATGGGACCCATATGGGTGATCTCTATGGAGGCAGAGATTAAAATGGGGGCCTAGTTTCCCGTGCCCATGCCTCTGCATCTGCCGTGAGCCTGGGGTGTGCAGGGGATCCCAAACGTAGACAGGATAATGAATTCTACTCACTTTGGGTGGCAAGTGGGGTGGTGTAGAGGGTGAGCTGGGCTGCAGTGGGAGGACTCCATGTGCTGAGAAGCGAGGCTGCAAGGGGAGAGAGGAGGCATTCAGGGAGGGGCAGTGTGTTGAGGGGTGTCCAGGTATGGTCCTCAGAGGTGGACAAAGGTCTGAGTGGCAGGCGTGGCATGCAGCCCTAGAGGCACGAGTCCCCCTTATAAGCCATAGGACTTCCAGCGTGTTTTGTCCTCGTTGAGCCTCAGTTTCCTCAGCTGCGCAGTGGGCATATCACGTGCCCCCTAGGGTTGCCAGGGGGTGGTAATGAATTTTGGCAAGCTGTCAGTGGGTCCGCCTGGTGGTCACAGCGCTCCCTCCAGTGAACCCCACTATACTGGAGACAGGTGATATCCTCCCCGTTCGTTCCACCGTGAGGGAAACGGTGCTCAGAGAGGTGACGTAGGCACTTGGCAAGCCCATGTCGTAATGGCAGAAGGTAAACCTGAATTTGCCGGCACCTAAATACCGTGATATCAACACTGCGATTCTTCCTGTCTGCAGGTGGTTGGGCGCAGAGCCAACGTCTGCTAAAAAGGAACTTCTACTATTATATCTAGCAGGAGAAATTAACCTTTAGTACTTCCTCAGACTTGCTCTCAGGTGGAGCTTACCCTTGCACGGAAGAGGAAAGCGGGGCAGAGCGGCAGGCGTTCCCAGTTTTCCACTGGTCGCTCTGCACACGGTTCTGCAAGCTGCAGGCGTCTGTGGGCATGGGCGGGCAGGACCTGATCCCAGCAGCGATGTAGGTGCCCTTGATGGCCTCTCCGCTCTCCCAGCAGCTGGTCACCATGCCCCCACTCTGCCCCTCAAATGACCCTGGTTTGTTCCGTGCACTGCCCCATCCCCTGCTCAGTCAGTGGCCAAAGGAATGGGCTCTGAAGATATTTGGGAGCAAATATGGATTCTGGTATTAGCTGGCTCTATTTTTAAAAAAAAATTTTTTGAGAGGTTTTCGCTATAGGGCACGTGTGCTTGCCAGACAGACAGAGACAGAGACAGAAAGCAAGAAATCACCCCCCAGGAGGGATGGTCATGCCACAATCCCTTCTCCTCCATTCTCCTCTCGGGATCTTGGGCACGCACGCACACGCACCCGGTGTGAGTTGTAAGCCACCGGGTCCGGGACGCGAACCGCAGTTGACTACGTGGGAATCCAGCGACATAGCCATTACACTAACTGCTGGTTCCTGCTGGCTCTATTCTCATGGGCCTCAGACCTGCCTTTTGTGAGCCTCAGTTTCTTCAACTGCAAAATGGTTAGAGTCGTAGAGCTTGGCTCATCTGGCTGTCATCAGTGTGAGTGAGATGGCAGGTGTGGCATGGTTACGCTATGAAGGGACTCCAAAAGATTTGTGGAAAATGGAATTGTTTCCATGAACTTTTTGAAGAACATTTATGGGAAAATGCATATTATGGAAAAATAAAAAAAACTGTCGATTTAAAAACGTTTTGTGCTAGGGCCAGCAGGTGGCCTAGTGGCTAAAGTGCTGGACTCTCACATGGCCGAGGGTGGTTCAAGTCCTGCACCTGGTGGCTTGAAACTCATGCAGAGAGTGTGTGCATGTACGCCCAAAATCCTGGCAAGAGAATGGAGGAGAAGGGGCACGGCCATTCTCTACAAGGGGTGATTTCTTACTTTCCCTCTACTGCCTCTCTCTGGTGAATGCACATACTGTAGGGCAAAAACTTTTTTAAAAAAATAAAATTTTTGCACCAAAATAAACTTGTACTTCAATTCTATTTTCCACTACTTTCTTTTTTAATTTTTTTTTATTTTATTATCATCATAATCTTCTTTCTATTACACTAGATTACATATAACTTTACATTGACTTCCATTGCTTTTTCAAAAGGGAATGCCATGCATGTCAGTCAATACAGAGATATCAATCTCCCCGCTTTATCATTCAATATCTTTTCCATGCTTTTCCCAATAATTATTATTATAATTTTTTAAACAGTCAATCACTATTTCTCATTTTGCTTATTAAAGAGACTTCACCCATCATGAAATATTTCCCAGACCGGTTCAGTGATTTTTGCTATAGGGCGCGTGCACTTGCCAGAAAGACAGAGAGAGACAGAGAGATAGAAAGTGAGAAATCACTCCCCAGGGGTGATGGCCACACCACACACACACACACACACACACACACACACACATGTGCCCAGTGTGAGTTTAAGCCACCAGGTCCGGAACTCGAACCACAGCGGACTACGTGGGAGTCCAGCGACAGAGCCATTATGCCAACTGCTGGTCCCTCCACTACTTCTCTAAAGTCCCCTCATCCTTGGGCAAGTGATGACCTCTCTGAATCTCAGACATTGTAAAATAGTGCCCGTCTCACATAACTGTCTAAGGATAAATGAGGTGATGCAAGTGAGCACATCGGCAGCAGGCCCGTCCCACCCCTCGGATGGGAAGCCTCCTTCCACAGAGCCCTTCTGGCCTCTTTCTCCTGCTTCCTTATCGCAGCGTCTTTGCCTCCAAGAGGAGGCAAACCTTGCAGAGAGATCCTGCAGAAAAGGCTGACAGCGCTCTGTCTCCCGGGAGGACTGTGGAGTCTCTGCCACCTTCAGGCTCAGAGAGGGAGGAGCTGGTCTCAGGCTCACACAGCAGTGCTGGCTGAGTTCTCATTTCTGCATGTGACTCAGTGCGAAATCCTCTTGTCACCTCCAAAATGCTCTTTTTAATAAACATATTCCAGTTTCTCCCTTTTAGCTCAGATGCCCTTTAGGCAAAAATTTCACACACATCCCCCGTTGGGATGAGTGGGCCGGCCACACAGACCTGTCCTGCTCCCTCTGTCTGTCTCACGCCTGTCCCTCTGTCTGTCTCACGCCTGTCCCTCTGTCCATTTCTGTTAGCTTACAAT